ACCTATTCTTAAGAAGTTTAAGCTTCTGTTTAAAGAATAATAATTTACGCCCTTGGATATTTGCAACGGACCAAACATCTTCAACCAAAGATAAAAAATTAGGATGTTCAAACCAAGAAGAGAAGAACTTGAAATGCTTGGGCCCCTAATTCGTCATGTCTCAATTAAAGCTAATATATTGAGTTGGGGACCCAAGCACTTCAAGTTCTTCTCTTCTTGGTATGAACATCCTAATTTCTTACCTTTTTTCCCACATGATAATATATTTTTACTATAAGCTCAACCTATATCCTTTGTATAAAACATGATGAATACACATTGACCATGTAAATAATCGAGCCATTCAAAAGCAATTAAACACCTATAAAACATTCTCCCTAAAAACTAAACAGAGTTTCAAACAAATTAGAATCCACATGATAATCATACCTCCAAATTTTCCTTTAGCTTTCTTAGCACTCCACATAACATCTTTACTACCCTAAAACGTTTTCACAATTGATTCTTAATTTTTTGGATTTTCCTTTCTTGTAACAAGCAGATATCACTTTCCCCTCAAAGATTAAATTTTGGATTACCTGTCTTTTTGCTAAATTTCCTCCTCCTCTGATGTTATAATATAGAACATTCATTTTAAACCTAAATTGAAATCATCCTTCATTTAGTTTCTCTCTTTATCCCTCACTCCAAGGCGCTTGATTTTTGAAATGTAAGTTGATTCATCATCACCTTTCTAATACCAAGATCAAATGCTTTCTTCCAGATGTTTGAAGCTACCCTAGATCTGAGGTAGATTCACAACAAAGAGCAGACCCCTTAGAGAATTTTTTCCAAAGAAGTAGACAGAGATTTCAATTTAGATTGACCAACTATTTTCATCAATTTAGGAAGAGTTAATAATGAAAAATAAGAGGGCTTAAAAATGTACGTTTCTTTAGAATTTTGGAAAACCGAAACAAAGCTATCTAGAACCTTCATCACATCTCCCATTTCAGATGAAAATTTACATTTCCTCTTTGGCTAAGCCCTAGGATAGGAGAATTGTCTGGCCCACTATTGATTACTTGTAACCCTGGATCAGCTAACATGCCTAATTGAGTTGGGCTTATATGAGTTTTTTCACTAGACCCATATGAGACAAAGGGATTTCCATGTAAGGAATTGACTTCAACTTCATTCTCCTGATTTATTCTGAGCATCTCCCTAACACTTAATTCAAGATGAATAGAACTCACAACTGCTGTCTCTGTCCACACTTTTTAACATTTATCTTTCCTAGAACATGTTTCACATTTTAACAAAGAGACAAAGCCTTTTTAGCCGTCCTTCCCCCCAATAATACTTATTTATTCCTATCGAACTCAGAGGGAATGACTTCATCTTTCACCTCTACTTGGTCATCGTATTCCCCGTGCCATTCACAAAAATCATCTTCAGAATCCTTCAACGATGAGATTTCTGAATCAATAACTTCAAGAATATGGATTCTCAGAGGACCTTGGGAGTCTTCTTCTAACTTTAGATTGAAAAAGAAATCATTGATCTGAGCTTCAATGTCTTCAGAGATCACACTTTAGTGTTTCTTCCTTACTAGGATTAAAGCAACTCCCAATTTAACACGCTCGTGTATTATAATCAACACATAACTATTCACCTATAGGTGTCACCAAAGATTCAGAAAAAATTGGTTCCATGCATGACATGGAATGTAATAACACATAATCCATGGAACTCACACATCGTCACATCCAACGGAAACCAAGGTCTAACCTCTCTAAACCATTGTTGTAACCAATTGCCACATTCTTTTAGCAATGCCTACATTTCACCTTCAACTATATCATTCATTAGGCACATGTTGGCAGCAAGAGGCGTGACTTGAATTGAAAAGTAACCCTCCTTGTTAAAAATCTCTTGAATATTATAAGATATTTCTGAGTTTTCTACAAAATCGGTAAATACTTTCTTGAGTCTATTGATCTCTCTCTCTCTCTCTCTCTCTCTCTCTCTCTCTCTCTCTCTCTCTCTCTCTCTCTCTCTCTCTCTCTGACTTGATAAATCACTTTGTGTCTAACTTCCTCTTTATTGTTGTAGATTTTTTGGGACAACACCTATGCGTAAGAGTTGATTTTGGGAGCTCTACGAAAACCTTTGGTAGATGGAGCGTTCTCCTTAACCTTATTTTTTCCTTTCTCCAAGTTCAAGCCATGATCCGTAGGTTTATCACCATTACTTACGTACTTCCTTCTTTGAAATCTAGGTATGTTGACGTAAAGCTTTCTACTACCGATAAAGATATCATCCAACTTGGTAGTAAGCAAGTCTTCATCTCTAATATCAAAAACCTAGCAAATTGTATCTTCTTCCTCTTACATCTCGCTTAGAAGGAATAACAACATCATCAATCTCACCATAGTTCGAAAATGTTTGGTACATGTCCTTTACTTCAAACTCCTCCGAAAATGATGAAAAGAAAAATCAATATCTTCTTCTATTATTGCTTGTATCATGATAACGCCTACCTTCATTATCCCATTGAACTTTTGGTTGTTTGAGAATCCACTTGTGCCTTGTGACCAGTCTCCAATCCGAAGTTGAATAGTTCACTATGCTTAAGCTGAAGTCGAAAAAACGTTTTCGAGAAAAGTTAAAAAAAAAGAGAGAACTTCTCTCTCCTCATAGATGTTATAGATATCTTCTTTGAACAACTATTTTTTCTAAATTAATTATTTACTTTTATGTGTTTTAGAAATTTTTTTCCGTAAGACTATTTATTTGGTTAGAAAGTTTGGCTATGCTATTAAATGCCAACATAAAATATCATTCCGATTTTGGACTAAGAATTTATTTATTTATTTATGTGATAGTTATTAGAATGTTAATTAAATTACTATTAATAATTCATTTAAAAAAGAAGTATCAATAGTTATTTTAAAAAAATATGCATCGATGTTGGAAGAAACCTTATTACGTTCCCAAATTGCATCGATGTTGGAAGAAGCCTTATTACATTCCCAAATTGTTTGCTTAACTTAATATTATAACAAAACTTTACAAAATTAACATTATTTTAAAAGTATTGTTTATTTAAGAATATTATATAAAAAATAAATAAAAAAGGTTATGTAAGAATTATATGTTAAATATTTCTTAAATTAAACAAAATAAATAATATTTCTTTTGCTTCTTGAAACAATACCTTAAAAATGTGTTAATGCTTTTCTGTTGAATCTTCAAGTTCATATTATTTATTATGGATTATAAAATAGGTCGGAATAGTCAGGCCAATTTATTTGACCAATTATTTTTTATAAATTGTATTAAAGTTTTCGTCTTAAGTTGGTATGTTCCGCTTAACCCTTTAAAAAACAAAATGAATTAGGATGAATTTTGTTGGCGGTCTTTTTTTTATATTTTTATTTAAAATAAAAATTAGGCAGTGCATTGAGGAGGCTAATTCACTATTTTTTTTTCTTTAATGGTAAAAAATTGAAGTTACCTCTTCTTATATTAATATAATTTTATTTCATCCTTTCGAAATTATGTTTCTTTCCATTTATTTCATCTATTATACGTATTTCTGCATTCGATTGCTGTTCTATTCGATCATCCAAACCACCACATCTATTTTGTTCTTCTTCCTCTCCATAAACACACATTTAAGATAAATTTCTAACTCAATTTTTCTATTTTTTTATATTACTTGCAGAATGAGACAAATATTTAAACATATAAATAAACTTTGTAGTGATGCCACATTTTTAAACTAGTTTTAGAATTATTACAGTTTGAGTATATTTTATTTATACTATTATAATCTTAAGACAAATTTCACAAAAAAACTTTGATCATTTTTGTCTTCAAGATATAACTATATCTTTAAAGTTTCTGCATTTTACTTATTAATTTTACTTATTAATGTTTAGATATTAAATTGATTATTGATTTTGATATGCCTAATTTTTTAGATGAATTTAAACCTAACAAATTTTAAACAAAATAAACTCTCTGCTTTGCCACCTCTACTATTTATTTGGACTTATTTACTACTTGCTGACAATAAGTCTATTAATACTTTGTTTTCCTCAATAAAACACTTTGTTTTTTATTCTTATTTTTCATTAAATTTGAACGCCGGTTTATTTCTTTTTAAAATATAAATTCTATAACACGTTCATATATTGTCTAATCATTAACCATGTCGTTTGCCAAAGACATTCATATATTCGTTGAAAAGGAAGTCAAAAAAGACAAATAATTCACAGTCCTTAATGCTAAAAGCAATTACAACCTCTATTTTATTCTGCTAAAAGAGACAAATGATTATCTCTTTAATCCTTCTAATAGAATTATGTTGAATATTACTTTTTAAATGAACATTTCCGTGTTTTTAAATTTAATTGTGTATTAGTACTTTAATCTAATATTATTTTATAGTAGATTAATTGTGTATTAGTACATTTCGGTGTTTTTGTTTTTGAATTTAATTTAGTATTAGTACTTTAATAAATAATATTGATTTTATTATTAAAATTAATATTATTTTGATAAGACATTCATTATTTATTTTTTCTGAAAAGAAAATGATTGATAGTATACATCTTTTTTATATTGTCTTAATTATATAATATATGACAAAATAATATATTTTATTCGATAACGTATAAAATATTTTTAGACTATTCATAAATAACAATTAAATGGTATAGATAGATATTTATTCCGCAACAAACCCATTCATTCTTGACCTCACAATAATAATATAACTGAATTAAATAATAATAAGATTTATGTTACGACAACAATATTCCAATTTTGAAAGAAAATCTTTTTTGACAGACAGTCATAATGCATTTTATATTGAAAATTGAATGAATTAAATGTCTATATTTAGTCTAGACCCTAAAAAGCAATTAATAAAAATAATATAGTGAATTTAATTGATAATGCAAGATGAACCGAAAATTTGAAGAAAGATAGTAGTGTTAAAATGAACTAACCTTTTAGAAACAAACGGAACGACGCCAAACGTGAGGCCAGAAGCAGCTTGAACAAAAACAGAAAAACAACACATAACAATAATAGAACTCCACAACGACTCAACTCGTCCAAGCAACACACAGAGCAACCCCGCTACCGTTTGAACAATCCACAAACCCCACAATCTTCCTCTCACACCAAAGCTCTTCCCCATTTTGTCTGAAACAAACCCTCCCATTGGTCTTGAAAACAAATTCGTCATCCCGAAACATGCTGCAATTGTTCCTGCGGTTTGTAGCTTCACCCCAAATCTATCATAAAAATATTGTGCTATAATATTATCTGTTGTCATTTCAACCCCAAACGAAAATCCATAAAGTAACCCCAATATCCATCCCCTGTAATCCCTTAACCCACCAAGTATCACTTTTAATCTATTCCCCTTTCGTTCCACAGGAATATTGTTCGCCTTGTTCGCCTTGTCATGGCCGAATGCTAAAACTAACACACCTGTAACAGTTTGGAAAACGGCAGGAACGATAAATGATAACCTCCATGCGGTGGAGGATGGGAGATACGTGAGAAGAGAGGAGTAAATTAAAGGCATGAGAAGTTGAGTGACGCCGGAGCCGGTGTTTGCCCAGCCAGCCGAGAAAGCGTTGGCGGACCCAACAACGGATTCTGCGAACATGGAACTCATCCAGAACTGGTTTGCAACAAAATTGGCGAGGGAGAAGCCCACGAGGAAACGGACGGCGATGAATTCGCCGGGAGTAGAGGCAATGGAGGTGAGGAGGATGACAGGTGCGGTTATGAGAGAAAGAATCCCGGAGGCTCTACGGGGACCCACGAGGTCGCAGATTGGGCCCATCAGTAGGCGGGAGAGGATGGAGCCCGCGAAAGCAGCGGAGCCTGCTGTGCCTATGTTAGCGGCAGTCAGGTTGAGGTCGTGGCGGATGATTGGGAGGAGAGGAGGGATGGAGAAGGTGGTGAAGAAACAGGAGAAGAGGTTGAACCATGAAAGGTGAAATGTACGCATATGAGGTGTTACCGGTGACGAGAATGGTCGAAACTCGGATGCTTTCTCGTGGCTCATTGGCTGCTGTTTTTCCATGGTGGATGACTAGATTCTTTTTCTCATGCCATATGTAGAAACTGGCATGTTATTTAAGAGAATTAGAATCAAATATCGACATCTCCGGTATCACTATCACGAGGTCGGGGTGATGCTCTATAGTTTTGTCCTACTTTTCCTTACATGTAGTAATACAATCGGTTAACAATATCAATCATGTGAAAGATGTTTGTCTTTCTGTCATATTTTGTTCAATTTTTTAACTCTTTAAAGATATTTTTAACAATTTTTTATTTATTAAAATTGTACATCTTAATATTCCTAAGACTAGGAAGTTGAGGTCGAGTATGAAAGAGTAAACAAGTCTCGTTGCATAAATTTAAATAAGTCGTATCCCAATCAAGAGAAATATTATTACATGACATGAATAAGTTCGTGTTGGTTCTATAATGACTTTGATAGGTGAGTAGGTCGGATCCGGTCTCCTGAAGGTGTTAGAAGGCGACATGAACAATCACATACGACGGTTACAAAACATCTTTATGATTGTATAGGAGTTACAAAAAATGATGGATGAGACATTACATGTGAGTTAAAGAGGACAACTGACGTTATCAGAGACCACTTTAACATAAGATATGAGAGGCATTCCTTAAATGACCCTCAGGAGTATTACAAGTATAAAAAGGGACTTTCCACCGAGAAAAAAGAAAGACAACCAATACCTCCTACAAACAGGACGATTGTGTTCTCACCTAACACGCCTCATGAAGATTATCTAAATAGTGTTTATAAGGAACATTTGGCGCACACTATGGGGCCTCGATAAAACTTTCCTAGGCCTCACATGTAACACCCTATTTTAGTATTTAGTTGTTTTGTGATTTATTTTGTGTGATTATTTTGGCATTGACTGGTTAAGGGTATATGTGTAAGGATGAATGTGAGAGCTTAGTAAAAGGAATTAAATGAAGTTAAGTCTTAGAATAATAGTTGTAGTAATAATTATATGAATAATGAGATATTCTCTTAATAATAATAATATTATTATTATTAGTATTGTTATTAATATTATTATGAGTATTATTATGATTACTGATGTTATTATAATTAATATTATGGTTAGTGACATGGAATATATATCCTTAATAATAGTTGTAACAATATTATTATTATTGGAATTAAGAAAGTAAAGATAATTAAGAAAAATAACCCACAATTAGGAAAGAGTGGTAGAGAGGTTACAGAAAATCAATTACACGTGAAAAGAGAAAGAGAGAAGGAAAACAGAGCTAGGGCAGGCAGAGACCAAGAGTTCCACCATTTTTGAAGAGAGAGGAAGCTTGAAAATTAAGGTAAGGGAGAATGAGTCTTTAATGGTGATCTGTGTTAGAACACATATTGGTGTTTAATATATCTCATTGTTTTGATGATAACATAAATAAAATTTTGTATAAAGGAAATATATACTCTAATTGTGTTTAAGTAATTTTGTTTCAGATCTTAAATTATATATTCATCTGGAAGCAAAAGTTACATCTACAACAGAAAAGAACGTTAAGAATCTGAGCGTCAGAAGTAACATTTCAGAAGACTCTGAGCGCTACCTGAAGAGACTCTGATCTGCTACAGATGACTCTGAGTGAAACTAAGAAGAATTTGAGTAAAGAGCGTACGACATTGTTTCAGAAGACTCTGGAAGTACTTCACACTGCAAGTACAGAGGCTCTGATATTCAACTCTGCGCTGATTGTAACATTCACGCTTTAGCACTATTGATGCAAGACTTTGATCTGAAGAACAAGGAACTACATCAGAAGATCTGATGTTAGTATTATTTGAAGGATATATTTTATTCAGTTGAAAAGATGCCAGTCCAAAGAAAAGATCTGTTGCTAATCCCAACGTCTGCTCCAACGGCACTATTCCTCATTTATGCATGACACAAGAATTCAGACACAAAGCACATGTCTGAACATTCCTCTTTCTGGAAAGGAAAAGTCAATAGAAGACAAAAAGGCAACAGAGGCAGCAGAACGTACATCAATGCACAGTCTTTGAGATAAGGACTTGAAGTAGTATTTAAACAAGCTTCAGCATCTTTCCAACGTTGACGAATATTGACAAATCATTTAAAAGAAAAACAACTCACAAGCTCTCATTCAAATATTCTTCAAGCTTAACAGTTTTCATATTTGTTCTTAATCTTGTGTAAACATCACTGTTGTGATATGGCTTGTTAGAAGCAAAACATTAAACACAAATTGTTAGTTTATCTTTGTAAAAGATTTCCTTAAGAAGACCAAGTTGTGGTCAGATTTTCTTGAGAAGACTAAGACAGTTGTCTTAGTGGTTTACACTGTAATCAAGTTTGATATAGTGGATTAAGTCCTTGTTGAGAAAGACAAATCACCTTGGTATGGTGGACTAGATTAGTTTGAGTTCAAACGAACCAGGATAAAAATACTGTGTTATTTTTCTATCTACTAAAGTGTTTTAAAAACCCTTATTCAACCCCCCTTCTAAGTGTTTTTCTCACCTTCAGTTGGCATCAGAGCTCCGGTTCTGTTAGTGATCTCACTTAACCGTGACAAAAAAAGATCCAGTTGAGAAAAACTCCTAATATCTTGTTCTTTATTCATCATGGATGCTGAAGCTTCAACTTCAACTTCATACAACAACATATACGATGATAAAGACAGAATCAACACCAAACCTCCCATGTTTGATGGTGAGAAGTTTGATTACTGGAAAGATAGAATATAAAGCTTCTTTCTAGGCTATGATGCTGATTTGTGGGATTTGGTAACTGATGGTTACATTCATCCTACCAATGATGAAGGGAAAAAGGTTGACAGAAAATCTATGTCTGATCAACAGAAGAAGGAGTTTAGAAACCACCACAAAGCAAGAACCATCCTGTTAAATGCAATATCTCATACTGAGTATGAGAAAATAACTAACAGAGATACTGCATTTGATATGTTTGAGTCTCTCAAAATGACGCATGAAGGAAACTCCCAAGTAAAGGAGACAAAGGCTCTGGCCCTCATCCAGAAGTACGAAGCCTTCAAAATGGAGGAGTCTGAATCAGTGGAAACAATGTTCTCAAGATTTCAGATCCTAATTGTTGGGTTGAAGGTTCTGGATAAAGGCTACTCTACTTCTGACCATGTCAAGAAGATCATCAGAAGTTTTCCAACAAGATGGAGACCAGTGGTGACAGCTCTGAAGCTCGCGAAGGATCTGAATAAGATCACTCTGGAGGAATTGATCAGTTCCTTAAGGAGTCACGAGATTGAGCTGGAGGAAGACGAGCCTCAGAAGAAAGGTAAGTCAGTTGCTTTAAAATCTAACAAATCTGCTAAAGCGTTGTAGGTTATTGAAGAAAGTTCTGAAGAATCTTCAGAAGAAGAAGATGAACTGTCTCTGCTGTCCAAGAGGATTAATCAACTCTGGAAGCACTAATAAAAAAAGTTCAGAAACTTCAAAAGATCTGATCAGCGTGGCGATTCTTCTGGACATAAAAAATCTGGAAAGAAAGATATAGTGTGCTATGAGTGCAAGGAGCCTAGCCACTATAAGAATGAATGTCCCAAACTTCTGAAGGAGAAACCCAGAAGGAAGTTTGAAAAGAAGAAGAGAGTCTTAATGGCCACGTGTGATGATTCAAATGCTTCTGAATCTTCATCAGAATCAGAGGATGAGTGTGCTAATGTAGCACTAATGGCTGACGTGGAAGACCACGAAGAAGCTGCTGAATCTGGATCAGAATCAGATTCTGAGGAGGTATTTTCTGAACTCACTAGAGCAGAACTTTTTGAAAGTTTATCAAAAATTCTGGAAAGTTACAGCATAATCAAACTCAAATACAAGAAGCTTCAAAGCTGTCTTGCATCTGAGAATGATCAGCTGAGGTCTGAAGTTGCTGAGCTTAAGGCAAACAATCTTAAACTAAAAAATGATTTAGAAAAAGCTCAGAAAACTGAGTCAGATCCTATATCATGCTCTAAAAATATTTTAGAAGAGTATGACTATAGCTTTCAGAAGTTTCTGGCCAGAGGCCTAGATAGAAGCAAGATGGCTTCAATGATCTATGGCGTAAGCAGAAACAACAGAAAGGGAATTGGATATGAATCACCTTCTGGGAAGGATTTAAATCCAAAACCTATTGATAAACTGACCATTAAGTATTCTCCTCTATATAATCATTTCAAATTTGGTCATTTAAATGATATTAAACACACACGTTCTGATCAGAATAAACCTGTGTTTAATAAACCAAAATTCCATCAGAACAAAGATGCTTATAAGGGAAAGAAATTCAGAAAGAATTTCAAACCTACTAACCCCAGAGGACCCAAGAAAATATGGGTACCTAAGGACAAAATGATTTTTGTTACAGACATCCTTAGCAGCAAAGTTGAAACACCAATCATGGTGTCGCTACTGCGAAAATCGGCGCCGGCTTGACAGGAGAGTCGCCACCGTGCGTTATTTATCCCTCAGAGCGGGAAAGGAAACGCTCGAAGTAAACCTCGCAAAGACGGGAAAAGGTATGGTCATCGCAACCAAAACCTGGATTCGGGAGTCGGTTACGCAAGGGGAAGGTATTAGCACCCCTCACGTCCATCGTACTCGATGGGATCCACGCTTGGTGTTTATAGGTAAAAGGGTGTATTATCTATCTACGCTAATGGCTGGTCTGAAAAGAAAATAAAAGGACAGGACTCGACAGAACATACGGTGTTCTGGGCCTACGTATTCCCTCGTGCAATGGGAAAGTCAGAGTCAACGTAGTTCGACTTCCTACGTCTAAACGGGGGAAAGGTTGCTCGCCAGGACATCGCGTCCTGTGCCTACGTACTTCCATCTGGAATGAAAGATCAGAGCGAACGTAGTTCGGCTAACTACGGGTAAACAGGAGCTCTCACACAGCAGTGAGAAAACAAACTGGTCCTAAAGGCTCAGGAACCTACAAATACGATCTGGTCTCAAATGCGCTCGGGCAAGAGAAAGGGGATAACAATTAGTCATTA